GGCAACCTGTGCCTGTGTCTGTTGGCTTCCTCCAAGCTAAACACTGGCTGCGTTGCGTGAATGAATACAGCAGGTGGCTGGAAAATGCATCTCACCTCATCTCACTGCCTTGCTCCATTGCAGTCCCACCGTGTTCTTCCTCTGTGTACATCTTGTGAGTAAACTGGTGCTTCTGTCTTCTAATTAATTAAGTCCTTTGGAAAGTGTTGCTCTTTCCTTCCCTTTAACCCCAACCCCTGCAGCTCAGCTCTGTGAAACTCCTTTCTAGGCTTCTCCCTCACAGCTCATCTGGCAGCTGCCATCTCTGCCGCAGCCCTCCAGCCCCTGGCTCAACAAAGCACTTCAGCAGTTGCTTAACTTTAATTCATGCCCCAGCTCAGGCGTATGTAAAGCCAGCTGGGTGCCTACGTGCTTTGCTGGGGACTCATGGAGGAATTCAGAAGGTTTCGTTAATTTAGAGCCGATATTATGAAGTCAGTTCAAATTCTGTAAGGATTGGGAGATTGCCATAGAGCATCAAACAAAAAGTCAAGATAAAGATGAAATACAAATGTAGTTTATAGTCTTTGCAGCTGGATCTGTTTTCTTCCAGAAAGTGGTTTAAGCCACTAAATTAATCAGAATTTTATTTACTGAGCAAATAATAATTCTTATGCTTACAGATTGCAACACATTTGGAAGCACTGTAAAATTAAAAAACCCACTAGGCTGACCTTGGCCTCGGAAATATCAAGTACCCTGCCAAGTCTAGAGCGGGTAGAAAGCCAGTCTGGAGAGCCCTGCAAGGTTGCACGCAGCCAGTGAGTTGACTTGGGCACCTTGGCAGACAGAGCAGGTCACTGATCTGACACTAAGCCAAATGACTGATAAATTACAGAACTTTTTTCTAGATTAACTTAATTATTATATATTTTTCTCAACATGAGTTTTTATGAGGGAAGTTTTTAAATGTTAATTTTACAATTTTTTTTACCCTTTAAAAATAAATAAATCACTTTTTGTTACACGCGAGTAGGGTTGGGGGGGAAACATTGTGGATAATGCAGTTTTTGTAATATTATTAAAAACATTTTCAAAATTAAGATGGGACAAGTCCAGACCTTTACTGCAACAGTGGTGTCTACTTTCATACCGCTGCATTTGCCACTGTGATATTTCAGTTTATTCAAATCCAGCAGCCAAAAACCCTTGAAACACAGAAAAGCTGGGAAGCAGGTTAAATCACCTTAGCTTCAAGGGGTTTGCTCTGTATGTACGTTCCATATGTATCCTGGCATTTGTTTAGCCCCAACACCCTCGTCCTCCATGCATATCGATGTATCTATAAATACATGCTTTTATATATATATATATGATTATTTGTATATATAATATAAAAACAGAGCTACGTTGTCGTTGTCAAATACTGAGTAAATGGAACAGAAAAGCATTTATAGGCACCCAGTTTTGTTTGTTCATTTAAATATTTTAAAATAAGGACCGTCCTTGGCAAATTATTTTTGTGTACAGAGGAGAATATATTTAGGACCTAATTTAAAAGAATAAAGAACTGCAGTAAGAATATATTAAACTAGCCTAGTCACTTGATACAGTTGTCAAAGGCTCTCCTTGTGCTGCTTGTAAAGCTGCAGGAGCGTCACTAACCCTGGATTTACGTTGGTTCTGGGATCTTAACATGTCATGCAAGCAAAAGGAGCTGGTGCTTCCTCCCAGACCCCCATCAGACCCCCAGGCAGCAGCTCCTGCCTGCCGCAGTGAGCAGAGGTGAAAGGGGAGGGCTGGCATGCAAAGGGGAGTAGGGGGGGAAAGGGAAGAAATAGGGGCACAGCTAAAAACTAAGAGCTTGGTGAGCAGCAGGATCTCAACCCCCCAAAATAATGTGGGTGTGTGGGTGTCCATCAGGTGATGGTCTGGAAGGGAAATCCCTCCCAGCTGTGGTGGCTGCTCCATGGGAAGAGCCTCCTGGTGTAACCCGTTCTTGCCAGGAGGAAGAGGGAAGGTTGGGCAGAGGACCCAGTCCTCAAGCTGCTAAAAAAGAACCGAGATTGCAGCAGCCTTTGCAGACTGTGTGATGGGTACTTTCTACTTCGTGTTTGTAAACTGTTGGGGAAAAAAAAAAAAAAGATAGCCATAGTACTTTTCTCAATGTTAATACTTAGAATTGTGGAATCGCCCTCCCCACTGGAGGTGGTGTTACTTTTTAGCACACTTTTTTCTGCCAAACAAATAGTATCAATTAGTTTTCTTTTTGTTTTTCTTAAAAAAAGGAAGTATTGTACTGGCTGTAGTATTCCTGTGATCTTAAAAATTTCAAAGGCATTATAAAATAATTATGTGTATGTCTTAAGGTCTGGTCAATATGAGAAAAAGTTACTTCCCCCCC